TCTTGTGTACACCTGAAGCAGTTCTACAGAACACTTGAGAAAAATACTTACAGTCCTTGTATAGCAAATTAACACTAAAAGATTGCTTTATTAAATTATTTTACTTCAGTGGAAAGTTGAGGCTTTCTGCATGCAAATATGTTGAGCAGTGCAGAGCACAGTAAGATTTAAACTATATGTGGTCTGTGTACAGCTGTTGCTGGAAGATGCTGACCATCGCAGCCACTCAAACTAATTATGTATATATTTCTGACTCTTAGTTGTAACTACTGTAATAAGCTTGTAGCTTTCAGTGTGTCAAATAATGTATTTAATAGCTTTTTCTCAAACTCTCAAGTGTTGTGGTGTTTCTAATTCTTCCAGCAGTGATCCAGTCTGTATAAATTCTTGTTTGGAGGGAATTTGTAGGGCATGGGACTACCTTGCTTTTCCTTTGGTCCTTAAGTATTGTTTTCTAAATCTGTTTTTAGCTTCTCATCTGGTGTCATTAATTGAATAACAACAAAACTGCTAATAGATCTTTTACAGATAAGAAAATGTCTAATTACTAAAAGGAGATCTCAGGCTAGGATTTCTGCTCTAGTGCTCAGCCCCTGTGCTGCAGCAGAGTTTTGGCTACACCAGCACACCTCGAGGGAGTGTGGGGTGGACAGGATTGTGACGTTTCCCTGCTTGTTCAGTGGTGTGTATAATCCTCTGACTGCTATGGTTGGCTTTACTTCTGCAAATGTGCTCCCCATCACATCAGTACTCAGTACTGAGGTGTGAGGTCTTGCTGATGGCTGTCTTGCAGGAGGTGGGCTTGTACAGCTGGTGTGAGGGAGATGGGATGGGGAGAGAGGCAGGGTGGTATAAATGGCAACTGTGAAACTGCTGCCCCAGCCTTCTCTGCAAGACATCTCGAGCCAGAAGAGGTCCTTGATCTGATAAAAACATGGCCTGGAAAATCCATAGCCATGACTGAAGATGGAGCACCCAGCAGTAAGTGGGGAGGGATGCAGGGATTTCCTGAGAAGGGATTTGTGCTGAACACTTCGTAATCTTTTTAGTATGAAAACCAATAACTGGAGACACTCCAAGAGGTAAGATATTAGCACAGCCCAAAAAAAAAAAGCAGCATATTTATTTTTAGCATGCATATCCTAAAATTCTTAGTAGCATTAAACACGCCGCTTGAGATTAAGTGAACTTGTTTTTATAGTTGAGCTACCAGTTGGAGCATTTACAGTCCATTGAAAGCTAATGGAATTCTAGTGCTTAAAGATTTTCTGGATAACCTCAGAACAGCTGAGGAGCTCTTACAGTTCATAGCTCAGTGAGATTGTTAATTAGTTTTGTGATCCAGGGAATTTCTGTGACTGCATTCTTGCAGGCGTATCACAGAACCAAACACCCCAAAGCCTCTAATTCGCATTCTGATAAATGAGGATCGCTAAAACACTGTTGTGGAACTTTGTCCTTTCTGTGCTTGCTTTGGATGACATCACATTTAAGCCTTTTTAATAGGGTGAATACCCAGATTTTCCTTTAAAACTAGGTGTCTGAAGGGTTTAACAAAGCTCTTCTGTCAAGCTATTGGATGAAGTGTTTCTAGAATCCCACTTTGAAATCTAAAGAATGGCTGCTTTCAGTGGTGGGGTAGCAATGAAAAGAAACGTCCAAGGATATCAGCTGCATTGCAGAACAAGGGCTGGTCTCAGCAACTCTGTGCTTAGGGCTCTATTTCAGTTTTTAAACCTCAAATGGAGTTGGAAAAATTAGAAGTGATTCTAATTAACACCTCAGTATGGCTCTAGAATTTCTTACTGTTATAATAGAATATCTCCTGGAAGACAACTGGACTTATTGCCTTTTCTCATGTTTTTCTGTCTATGTTTTGTGTGTGCAGTAGTAAAGTGGGTTCCTTTCTTGTGAAGTGATGAGTGCTGTTTCCTTTAAGTGACTGCAACTGTGGAGGCTCAGTGTGGTTGGAGTGTGTAACCTGGCTCAAACCATTCAGTAGTCATCCGTGTATCAGGGCATAGAGTGAACCAGTCCTGTATGTTAATAGTGTTCTGGAGCAGGGTGACTGCTTAGGTTGAAGAGAAGAGTAGAAAAAGTAGCAGTGCTACATTTACATTTGGACTTCATGAAGCTGTAAATGAATGCTTGCTGTGAAGTACTCTGGTTTGCAGATGCCTGCCAAGAATGAAACACTGTGCAGGTTACCCTATGGTAGGAGGCCTTAGTTAACCTGGAGGAATTGCAGTCTGAGCTGGTAAGATGAGGGAAGGCTGAAACAGTTGAGTTTAGGGCTAAATTTTGAGGGTGGCACAGTTTGATTGCAAAAGCTTCTGGTAGGATTAGGTCTGTGGTGCAGGGGGGATCTTCAGAAGTCTAAATAAAACCAGCTTCTTGGTAACCATTGTGGCTTGATTTACAACTCTTGCTGTGTTTCATGTGGCCAGCCTGTCTGTTAGAGCCTTCATTTGTTGGTCTAAAGATCCATTTTCAATAGCACCACAGACCTGCTGTGTATATAGTTTTGTGTTGCCCATTATCAAAAACCCAGTTACTCAGTCCTTTTCTTTTAAAGCAGATGAAGCAGGTAATTGCTTCTAATTTCTGAAATGTAAAAGGCTGCCTGGAAAAATCTGTGTTCTGGTATGGGCTCTGTCATCCACAGCAGGGTGAAAAGTAGCCTGAAGAAACTCAAAAGGTGTTTCAAAAGGCTTTATTCTTACAGGTCGTAGCATTTTCCACACCAAGTTCAGTATTACCTACCTGAAGGTAGGTAAAAGAAATGTCTAAGTCATTTACCTACCTAAGAAGGTAGGTAAAAAAAAAAAAAAGAAGTCTAGTCACTGACTGGATCATTTTCCTTGCCAGAAGAAGGTAAACTGTTTCTTGGGCTATAGAGGTGAAAAAGAAACTGAACAGTTGATCTCAGTGAGTTTTGTTTGCTTTATTACAGTATTCCTATTTAAAATCTCACTGTGCCCTTTCTGAAACAGTGATGTACTACTGGCCTGATCCTGCCTGCCACACTGACACTGTTGGAGGATCAGTCCTGTGCTGCATGGTTTCAGCCTTGTCTTGCTCTGTTCTGCCTGGCTTTTCTGTGGTTCTGCTTCCTCACCACAGGTCATGGCTGCTCCCTTTCACCTCAGAAAGGACTGGGTGAGCTCCCTCCTCTGCTTTAAACTGCCTATGCCTTATACCAAACCTGCAATCCTCCTGGTTTGGAACCTCAAGGGTAATGGCTAAATTCAGTGTCCCCAAAATGGGTGTAGCAGACAGATAAGAGTAGCTCTGTGTGGGGATGGTACTGTAACTCAGATGCTTGAAAAAGCATTTCTGGGAGTGCTTCTTCACTGTTGGGGTGTTTGCTCTTGTATGGCACATGCTAGTCAACAACAACTTAGTCTGAGGTGTTACCTTTCAAACCATAGTCATGCCAAGGGGGAAGAATTCTTTGCCATTGGTGTCTACCAGAATGGGTCACCCAGTCTGGTGATGGAATTACTGACCTCAAATCTCAGTGCACGTAGTAACGTGGCTTGCTTGGAGCCAACTGCTTTTGAGTGAGGAATTTGAACTGAACAATATTCAGTGGTCCTTCCCAGCCTATCTAATCCTAGAATGTTTGGAGCTTGGCAAGTTGTTAGTCTCTAGTTAGTTTTGTTTAGGACTGCCTGTTATGTGAAAACCTTTTCCAGGGTAGTCCTTATATAATTTCTGTTGTAGGCATTACTCTTGTCTGGCAGAATTTTGATGGTATGATGGGTGGATTGTCTGCATGGGCTGATCACAGTTCAGGCTACCTTGAGACTCCTGGTAGGCCTGTTCATATTTCCTGTTCTGTGATAATGGAACTATCATAAATCAGGGCAGGTATAGCTACTCTTTGTAGCAGTGTTCTCTGCATGATCTACTGTCCTGTTCTTCCTGCAGCACTCAGCCAGGGTAGGAATAGCTGGGGTCTTCAGCTGTCCTGCTGCGTGTGGACAGAGGTATTGCTATCCTTGCATCTCCCATATAGCATTTGTGTCTGGAGCATGCATCTTTTATTCTCCTCACTATGGGGATCATGTCTAGTGACAACTTCTGTCAGTTGCTTCATCTTTTGTTCCTCGTTTCCCAGCATGCTGTTCTTACAGCTACTGTTCTATGCTAATCAGGGTCTGGCACTGCTACATCCAGCTGCTGGTAAATGCTGGAGACCTCCTAAACGAACAAAAAGCAACAAAAACCACTACTACACTTAAGTACTTAATTTGCATGACACATAACAAAAGCTTGTAAAGAAATACTCATTTATTGAACTTGCTCTTTCTGGATTTGCAACATCAGGAGAAGAGCAGGTACTGAGTATTTCTTGCAGTAAAGCAGGATGTTTTCAAAAGCAAATTGTAGCATCAAAGGCAAGAATATCAAAATAAATGCTAATGCCATGTTATAAGGCTTTCTGCTGGAAGCTTTTGCAATTTGTTCCTGCCAGAATTTACTATGAATCTCTGCTTTTCTTATTAGCCTACATAGAGAAAAGATCAAAAGTAATTTTCATAAGCAGATCTAAGGTATAGCTCTGTTAGTAGGTTGAAACTAAGCTGTATCAACTTTAAATAAATATTTTAGAAAGGTGTAAAGCCTTATAATGAGAGAGAGAAAAATACAACTTCCTGTTAGTACAAGTGTAGCTTCCTTTAGAAACTTCTCTAGCTGGCAGTCACATAGGAAGGGTTTACAAACAAAAGCAGCTTGTTCAGTTAGTATGTGGCTGTGAGAAACCTTTGACTTTTCCATTATTCCTGACACAGGGAAGGCATTTGTCCTAATACAAGATATTAGGACAAATACTTCTGTTCTAGACATCAGTCTAGACTTGATTTCCAATGCATGGGAATGACCTGTTCTTCCGGCTTCCTGGATAGGGTTTTAATCTGGTCTTTCCATAACAGTGAAATGCTTTCCCTGCATGGTACCGCTATACCACTGTTGTTTTGTTTTTCTGTCAGCAGGTCTGATCAGTTGTCTGGTACTTCAGCAGTAGCAGACAGGACAATGGCTGCCAGCAAGGGCAAGAACCAGAGTTCCTTGGCACTCCATAAAGTAATCATGGTTGGTAGTGGAGGTGTAGGCAAATCTGCGCTCACGCTCCAGTTCATGTATGATGAGGTAAGTAGCTTTGGCTTAGCTTTTCTGAGTCCAAATGGGTACAACTTACTAAATGCTTGTGGTGGGGGCAAAGGGACTAAATCTAAGTTGGGAAAGGTCTAGTGACTGGCTAAAGAATAAATAGGAATCTGTGAAGGGTGCCCTGTAGAAGCACTTCTGGCCAAAAGTGATGGGATCAATGCTTTCTGGTGAAAGAAAGGCTTCAAAATGTGACAGCAATTGAGTGTGTGCAGAGCCTGTTAAAATTGATTTGATTGTTATTTATTTTAGGCCAGGTAAGGTTGAAGTCAAATGTAAGCATTCTGTCTTTCTCTGAACCAGATGGAGCAGTATGCATGCTTAGAGTTCTTCCATACTGATATATGGAAAGCTAGATCAGGCAGTCCGGATTAACATAATTGAACTCATGATCTGCTAGTTTAGAAATTGGCCATTATTTGCAGACTGTCCAAACGTACTGTAGTGATGTATCTGAACAGGCCCCATTGTTGAGGGGAGATGGCATAGGTACTGTTGTGGTACCAATGCTGAGATAACTCAGTGCATCAGCTGGCTTGAGTTTGGCATAAGGAAATCAGTGGCAATGCCAGCTTGAAAGCATGAACTTCTGCTACACCTCCTCTAGTATGGCTGATAGAGGAACTCAGTCAGCTTAATCAGGCTCATGGCACAACCTTCTGTTAGTCTTTAAGACTGAGAGAAGAGATTGAAAGGTAAGGAGCCCACGCTGGGTGTGTGCTGTCAGCACAGAATTACAAATGGAATTGTCAGTGGCCTTGTGTGTCTGGTCACTATTGAATGTGTTTAACTACATGCCTGTGTAATTATGGAGCAACTTTTTTATGTTCAATGACTGGCTGCCGTCATCTGGGCTTGTTGGAACTATGGATAGTTGTGACTGAAGTACACTCAGAAATGCTTTGTTCTTGAGGTGGGAGATCTAGATAATGCAACCAGTTCATGAACTGGTAGCTTACACTATGTCCCTTAAATTGTGCTGAAATTGCTGAACAGTATTTTATTTAGGAAGGCAGTTTCTCTTGAGTAGGCAGATTGGCTCTTTGATGTATTAAGTACTTAAATAGCTTGCTTTTTATAGTAAAAAAAAAAAGTGGTGGAACTTAGTAACTGACTGAATTATGATGAGGCTTTCAGGAATTTAAGTGTCATTGAAGTAGAAGAGAATGGATATAAGCAAATACTGAGGCCTTCTGACAGTAATTCTAAGCACTAATTTCTATCTTCAGTTTGTAGAAGACTATGAACCTACCAAGGCTGACAGCTACAGAAAGAAAGTAGTTCTAGATGGTGAAGAAGTTCAAATAGACATTCTGGACACAGCAGGACAAGAGGATTATGCAGCAATCAGAGATAACTATTTCCGCAGTGGGGAAGGATTTCTTCTAGTCTTCTCAATAACAGAGCATGAATCCTTCACAGCTACAGCAGAATTTCGGTAAGTGTTCTTCCCACAGGTGAGGGGATATGTTTGATTTCTATTCTACTCTGACAATTCTTCATAAAAGCTACAGCTCTTTCTCCTTTATCATTACCGTTGGGTCCATAAAAGTGACAATACAACCATTTTGTTCTTGGTAACTAAAACCACTGTACCATGCCTCTGGCTAGTTGTCTTCATGTCTTCAGCTTGTGAGTACATTACGCCATCAGCAACTTCAGGCAAATAACAGATTCTTGGACTCTTAGAACTTACGTATTCAAGCCAGTTTTCAGTCTTCGTGAATGTGGAGTTTAATTATCTGAGAGCAGTACTTCTGGAATTAAGTCTGCCTCTTGGCCAGGTTTCAGACACTGTTGCTTACTGCTAGAAGCAGGTGCTCTAAGGGAGGGAAGGATTAGCCTCCACACTCAGGTATGGATTGGTGCCAAGCAAGGGTTGGCAGCTAAGCAGCACTATTGTAGGCAGACATGTTCCTAGAAAGACACACAGTGGTGGTAAATGCTTCTGTTTTTTGTTCTCAGGATTAGTAATTTTAATGTAAAAATGAGTACCAGACTGAGAACAAATTACTGTAAAAGAGAAGAGCTTTAACCAACTGTTCTGGTCCCAGAGCTTTTGTATTCAGGTTCTTCAGGACAAATGTTTTGGCTTTTTCTGGCTAATAGCTGTTGCCTCAGTGTAGAAGACAATCCAGAGATTCCTTAAGAGTTCTGTCTGCTCTTTATCAGTCTGATTTGTTTTCACTTTGCTTTGCTTTCTTGGAACAAGATTAACAGACAATCAGCACTTAAATTTCTGCTACTGAGCAAGGCAGACACTTACTTCCAGGGTATTATAATAGCTATGACATGTCCTTCACATTTCTAGAACTTTTGTCCAAGTTCTTAATGTATTTCACTATTCCAACAGTAATAGGGAACTGCATAGTTACTTAAGAGTGTGTTTGTCACGTGATGAAAGGGTGATAGTCACAGGGGACACAACAGGAGCTGTTTTATTTGGTATGCTCTGTTTGGAGCATTAAAGGAATGAAACAGCTGAAGTGGTGTTGAGCTGAAAGTGGGTGCGAAGACTTACCATAATGGAAGATGGGGGGGGGGGGGAAGTCAATACCAATCAAGCAGGTATAAAACTAGATACACATCTGACTCTTGGCTTGGATGCTTAAGTGAAATAAGGTTAAACCCAAGGCTTAAGGCTTTGGATGAGAAGGTGTAATTGTATATTTCTTGTTGGTGTTTCTTATTAGACTTCTGTAACATTAACAGTGTGTTGGTTGGAGATTCCAGCACATCCAGAGGAATGAAAAAGCTGTGCTAATCTTCAAGGTGAACAAAAAATGAGAGCCTTGAGATGGAGAATGTTTTTTCTGAATGATTCTGAATTAAACAATATGAAAATAAGTTAAATAGGGTATTTAGTTAAGAGGATATGTAAGAATTGGTGGTTTGAAAGAACACTTTCAGGAAGAAGGGAGAATGGATAGCCTAAAAATAACTGCATGCTGGTATGACACTTACAGAATTCTAGATGGACAGCAGCATGTGTCAGTCTAGTTTCAACCTGTTTTATTCCAGTAATAGCACAGGCTCTAGACTTGCATACGGCATTGTGCTCACAGTCTCCTTTCTCAGTTGCTGATATTTCCTTCTTGAATGGGAAAAGGATAGCAAGGTTAATATTGACCAATTCATTTTTTTTCTAGAAGGCTTTGAAGGAGGAAGACTTGCTAGCCCTTCAGTGTAGTGTCAAGCTAGTAACTAATGACTGACATAGCCATTAAAAATAACCTTTGCCAGTGACTTCTCCTGTTCTTAACCTACTACCTTGGCAAAGTCTTGATGCTGCCTGGACCTGTGTTGCGATGGGGTGAAGACTTGAAATTGAGGGTGGTAACTAAACATGGGGCTGGAATCTGACAAACATCGTACTTGTGCTTTTTCACGTTTGAATTTGAACTCTTAATAAGTTGTTCTGCAACGTTACTTTTTGCTACCCTGGCTCTAGAATAAATTTCTAACTAAATGGTGAAATAGCTTTCCTTTAAAAATGTGAGCTCCTACTTAGTTTGAAGCCCATAGTGTCAAACTTGGAACCACTTCAACTATATTTGGCTGTTTGGGGACTGACTTAAGTAGTGTGCAGAACACTAGTAGTGTGCAGACCACTTGATGTATTCATCTTAAGAGTAGGGTTTTTGTTAGTATCACTAACATGTGCTTATTTTTAATACCCAATGCATTAGGGAACAGATCCTGCGTGTGAAGGCTGAAGAAGATAAAATACCTTTATTGGTAGTAGGAAACAAATCTGACTTGGAAGAGCGCCGACAAGTGCCTGTAGAAGAGGCTAGAAGTAAGGCAGAAGAGTGGGGTGTGCAGTATGTAGAGACCTCTGCCAAAACTAGAGCAAATGTAGATAAGGTAAGACAAATAATTTGTTTTTACTGCAGTTAAACTGGTAAAACTGCTTGCTTAATGGCTGAGTGAATTCTTGCCTCTTGCTGAACAGAAGCAAATCCATGTTTGGACTTCTGAAAGAATAGGTTATGAAAAGAAGTAACTTAGTGGAATGTGTGCACTGAAGTAAATACATAGCTTGGGCAAGCCTAGAGATCAGTACAAGTTAACAGTATTGTTCTGTTTGTACCTGAACCAGCTTTTCAATAAAGCCTGTTAGCTATAGTTGAACTGTTTCCATCTTTCCTTGCATAGCTGTATAACATGGTTGATGTTAAAAACTTGACTCTTGCATTTTTGTAAAGATTGTTCTGAATTGATCAGAAAGTCTTGTGGGTGTTCCTGTCCTGTTTTGATTGCACATGCTGGTCTAGGACAATTGTTCTTAGAGTGTTTCTGCTGCTACTTTGACTAAATATTGATGGGGTATTCCTAATGAGAAATAAACTCACCCAGTAGGAGAAACCAATAGTTTCAAATCTCCCTTTGATGTGTAGTTAAGCAGTTTATTGATGAGAGTACCCTTTTACTTCCATATTTTTAGAAGATGCCCCTAGGCTTAGTGTTGGTCCCTCTTAAGGATTACAGAGATGTAGTTGAGTAAAATGTGCATTTGTTTTCAGATTACAAATTGTAAGCTGCTTTTTCCTTGGCCAAAGGATGCATGTAGCATGTTAAGCTCTAAAGGTAGCAGTGTTATAGACAGTTTCTTGATCTTTTAGTCCGTTAGCTCACTAATAGAGGTGTAATTGACCCATAAGTTACCTAATAGAAGCTTATTTATCATAGTATTGATATAAAGGAGTGTATAGAACTCTCTTGAGTTGAGACCTTTTCTTTGTAGATTACATAGAATCTCAGAATTGCAGGAATGATCAAGAGATCATTCAATCCAACACCCTGCTAAAGCAGGATCCCTGCAATAGGCCACGCAGGTGGGTGTCTACATGGATGTTTAATTTCCATAGAAGGAGACTCTACATCCTATCTAGGCAGCCTGTTGCAGTGCTCTGTCACCCTTACCATAAAGATGTTTTTCTGCGTGTTTGTATGGAACTTCTTATGTTCAAATCTTAGGCCACCACTCCTTGTCTTATGCTGCACGCCACTTAAAGGAGGCTTGTTTCTAAGTATCTCAGATCTACATAGCTCTCTGTTTAAGAAGCATAACTGCATGAGGGAGAACAAAGTTGTTTTATAAAACTGACTTTTTTTCCTAGAAACTCTGTGAAATAGCTATTCCATCTGATGTCTAGTTGAACACTAGATCTGGATAAAGTTATCTAGGATTTTGGGTGAAGGCATCAGAATAATGACTTCCTGAGAATCTTCTGTGCAACAGGACTTCCTGTACCTGATACTGCCACTCTGAATGCTGCAGCTTTTTTTAATTATAAAATAGAATATTATGCAGCAGGATATGTGCTAGTAACCACATGGGAAGGACCAAACTAAATACTTTGGTTAATGAGAGTTATTTGCTGAGAAATGCTTGCTAAGCACAGAAATATTATCTTGAGCTCTGAATGCTACTCTTGTGCAAGAACAATATTCAACAAAAAGCTCTTGAAATAGAGCTGCTGAGTGACTTAAGTTATGATAGAGTCATGGAATAGTCTTGCTTCTTGCCACTGCTTCAGGTACCATAATTCTAATGTTGAGTTTGTTGCTGGGATGTGTGTCCAGATTTGATTCTGCTGCTAGGTACCTTGTTTTGCTATGTCACTTATGTGCCTAATACAGTAGTCTGTATCTGTTTTCAGGTGCCAGAACTTGTGTAATCTTTTTGTTTTTTCCCTCTAGGTATTCTTTGATTTAATGAGAGAAATCAGAGCAAAGAAAATGTCTGAAAACAAAGACAAGAATGGCAAGAAAAGTGGAAAGAACAAGAAAAGCTTTAAAGAAAGATGTTGCTTACTGTGATGCTTGGGGACTCTGTATATCTATCTACAAATGGCATGGATAAGATACCACTAAGGATATAGGGCTGGATTCATGAAAGGAAGTCTGTATTGACTCCCTTATCTTTTGCTTTGCATATCATACCTTCAAAATGTGAAAACAACTTTGAAACCATTTCTGGTATCCAACAAAACCTATGCCTACTTAAACTGAATTGTCTGTCTTCCCAGTGTCTTTAGAAACTATTGAGGTTTCAGAACTACAATCACTTTATTTGGTTATACAGAGTTCTTTCATATTAACTTCCTGGATTAATGTTTCAGAATATGTTTTTTGAACCTCTACTGGCCTTAACAAGCACAGCTGTTCAGGTTCAAACAGTTTTTCACTGTTGCCCTTATTAATGTTGCAAACTGCAGAAAAGCTAGGTGACAACTAGTCAGAGTTTGTCTCTGTCTTCTGTTAGTGGTTACTGAGTTGTTAGATTGAAATTTGCTGGTTTCCTTCTTACACTCCACTTAAATAGCAACTGACACTTAAGTCAACTTGAAACAAACTTCCTTCCGTATTCTGCTCAGTCAATATGGCATTCATGAATCAAGCCTCAATTTGGACTTATTTAGGTAATACAGAAAATATATTTAAATATTGGCATTCCCTGATGTTCTGTCTTCTCATCCCATAACTCTAATTTAAGGATGAGAAGACGCCTAAGCATTTCATCAGAAGGAGTAGTTGCCACAGTCTCCTAGAAGTGCTATCCTGAATTTCTTCCATGTATTGTGGCTATTACACTCATTCTTCATTGGTCATTCATCCCCTTCCTGGTACTGGAACAGTGAAAATCAGTGTTCATCAGTTTTGTTTATATTGGAGAATGTGTAATATGTTGGAAAAATGGGAACATCTGCATCCATTTCCTGCTAAAAATGAAAGCTGAGTAAGGATGGTTCACATCACAATCATGTCTTGGAATAGGTGAGGTGTACATGCTACCTCTCTGATAAATTGGCTAGTCAGTCGTGTTTGCAAAAAGTGAATGAAGGTAAGCAGTTGCCATGTCTGTTACTCACTGTTAATTCTATATGTACTGCTTCTGATGCATAGCAACCTAGCACATGGAGATGCATGTTGAGTTTTGCTGTCAGTTATGGTGGTCATGTTTTAAGCAACAAAAACCAGCCTAGAAATGGAAGAGAAGTCAGTACTTAGCAGGTCTTGTCAGCTGACTGAACTGTTTTCTGATGCAGTTTAAACTAAGTGCAGTTGCCAAAAAAAAAAAAACTTCTGTTGCTGTTGTAGAATGTAACTGTCTCTTCTGTTTGTGGAGTCTCTCAATGAATTATGGATATCTTCTATTTCAAAGGAGTAGACAGACTTGAAGTAGTGACTGTACCTTGCTTTTTAACCAGATGCTTAAAGCACTGTTGGTGAAAAGATGATGCTATGTGGTTGTTCAGTGAAGCACACTGCAGCACTAAATTAACAAATATTGTTTCTTGAGGTGAAGGAGTAGCAAATACTGTTCAGTACTTAGTATTGTAATTTGAGGATGAAAAACATTTTTAACATGTACTAGATTGCTCTTGTGCATTCCACCTCTGAATTTTGGGGAGAAAAAATGTTAGATATCAGAGCCTCTGTTGGTCTGAGGTTTTACAGGGATTTATCATGCTCATTGTCTTCCATAACTAGTTTAACTTGTCAGGCAACTCATTGGACTGGGGAAACTGTACTAAATAAAAGGTGCTGTAATCTTCATTCATGTCAAGTTCATTTTCTGTTAATGTTCTGTGCACAGAAAGAATGGTTCACTAAGTCTGGAAATAACCTGTTGAATAATATAATTAATTGGTATAAAAAACCAACTGAGTGTAGTTTTTGAGGCAGAGGCTGGGAGCCTGATGGCATATAGAACTGCATGAACTGTACCACCTGTGTCTCAAGCCTAAACACCCAGTGGGACATATAAAGCTGTCTAAAGCTTCTAACAAAACTTCCTCTTGAACTTAGATTCCATTTTTGTGTGCACGCTGTATCTACAGCACATGAATGTCCACTTCTGGAGGCGGACCACTCACTTAGGTTTAGCTTTAGTTGAGACCTAAAGGTTAAGTCCTTAATTAACCTAAAGGATAAACAATGGCTGAGTTCACATTACAAGCTTACCTAGGTCAAGCCCCTCTGAGGCGGATTGTTAAGATGTGAGTAACAAAACTGAATAAGCTTTCCTTGCTATGTGAATAGTGAACTCAGCAAAGCTTACAATGAGTGCCTCAACTGTTAGCTCATGCTTTTACCTTTGACCTCTCTAATCATAGCATATCTGACAGTATTAGATAGGACAGATGAACTTCAGAACAGTCACTCTCCCACTGGTGTTTTTACTTTGTGCTGGTTTCATTCAGATCACTTTTTCTCAACAGATAAAGGCCTAGTGCTGAGGTGGACTTGCTTGGAAGAAGCTGCTTGCTGTTTCATGGCTTGGTACCACATTTCTTCAGTGTTCTGGTCTTGTCACTCTTACAAGAAGTGCTAGGCCTAGAGGCTAAATTCAGCAGCTCTTCAGTATCCTATGTGCTTCTGAAAAGCTTCAGTTTAACTTTCCAGATACAGCTGAAAACATGGTAAACAGGGTGGCTACTCTGACTGCTTTGTAACAGTGGGCAACAAGCTTTGACTTGCACCAGGAAATCAATGAAGCTGTTCCCCTGAACTGGAATCCTGCTGCCTCCACCTCATATGGTGGATGTGCCTGAATGCATGTTCTTATAAAAGTGCATTGCCCCAGTGTGGGTTCCTGAATTACTTCCAGGTGTGTTTCAGTGGACATCAGTATGAGGTGGGTTGACTGGAATGAATGTGAAGTGGTACAGAAATGCTTCCTTTGGATTTGGGGGTTTCCTGTGAACAGAACAAAGGTATCTTTTGGCTTCTAATCTAAACAAATATTTACAGATCAGATACATGGAACAAGGAGGTCTTCAGCAAGAGCTGTGTGTGTATAGCTGTCTACTAGTCTTGCTGCCTAGCTGAAGAAATGTAAGGCTCCGAAGCTGGTACATTCTAGTAGCCTTTGCATGTTAGGTAATTAAAGGCTAAGTTTTCACTTCATCAGTGTAATCTGCCTTGAATCTTCCTTGAAAATGGCTGTAGGCAAGTAACTGGATATTTGAGGCTGGAGGTCATGCAGAGTTGCTTGCCTAAATGCAAGCACACAGCCAAGTGTTTTTCTTGAATAATGACTTGACATAAAGTCAGGGCACTGTTTACTGCGGTGTGTAATCTCTTGTATTTGGTGTAGCTGTGAGTATTGAAGTGTTCCAGTCTTCACATATGGGTAAGCATGTATGAGACAAGCCTCCCATTCAAACAGAGGCAAGTCACTATGAAGTGTAACTTCAAAAAGCAGGTTGAACTCAGGAATATGAAAGCTGAGTTTTCCTGACTAGAAAGGCTGTCTTTAGATGAGAGTACAGACCATGAAGAACGTCCACAGTGACATCATACAGTGTGTTAGAAACATTGGCCTGTATATTTACTGCAGTTTCTTGGCAAACCTTTGGCTTGGTGAAGAAAGATGTACACACATTTACTGGGTATTAAACTTCAGCAAAACTTTAGTACCTTCCCAAAGTTCCTGTTGAAATCTATCTGGCTTATACTTTAGGTCTAAGGCATAAAGCTGCTGTTAGAATGCAGTGGGGGAGGAATGAGTTGAAGTAAATGCTCACCATGAATATATATATTTTTTTAAAACTTTCCAAAGTGTTAATCCCGTGCTTGGGGCTGACAGGTCTATCAATTTTTCAAAAAGAAGATGCTGTTTATCAATTCATCTCGCTTAAAGCAAAACTTATATAGACAGAAGCTTTTAAATTGCTATAAGCATATGTTGCTATATTCACCTCCTGTTAACTTTATAGATGGGAGATTGAAGGAAGAACAACAGAAAAAACTGATTTTTTTCACTATGGTCTCCACACTTCATGGGAATGGCAGGTGTTCCTCTTGGGAGGGGAAGGTGTTATCTCTAACACCAAGAGAGAGGTTTAGCAAAGAGGAAGTGATTGTGATGGCAAGATTTAATAAGACTGCTTTGAGATCATGTACATTGCCAACTTTTTTTCTTACGTAGCTTCAAAGCTTTGTCTCTAATGCACACAAACGTTTCTAATGTCTATAAAAGAGATCACTCCATTATCATGCTAATACAACTGATTTTTATTACTATTGATAATAAAAAGAAAAATAGGCACCACATTTGTTCGTTATTGGTTTTTACAATAATTCCTAAATTCTTGAACCAAATAACCACTGACTTTCAGTTTCTGGAACTAATGTTCTTTTTGAATGAAAGTTGTAGCATGGCTGTATTACAGGCTGTGAGGAAGGAGGAAAGGAAGAAGTGACTGAAGACTCTCATGTAAGTGTGAAATAGCTTATGTATGTTTCAGAACTCAGCTGCTGCAATGGCTTGTTCACTTCCATAGCTCCCTTTCTGCAACCTAACTGGATCAGATGGCTTGCATCAACTGTCTAAACAGCTTTTTCACCTTACTTGATCGATCTTGATCAGCAAATAACAAAATAAGCAGTGTTGTGCAGAAGAGTTGGTACCTAGTCTGAGTATGAAGCTATTGTGTTGGTTTGTAATGAACAAACTTAAGTAGAGAAGCTGAGATGCCTCGTAGACAGGATGGTCTGGGACAGACTCACTGTGCTGTCATGCCACTTAATGCTGAAAGGGTTTTACAGTAAATCTGCTGATGGGTGCACTTTCTGTTGACATGGCTCAGTAAGTTGGAAGTAGAACATTCCTTTGACTTCTGGACAAGGATTACAGCTGTTTACATAATCTTGCTAATGTGGTGCTTGTGTAGTGTTTGCCCTGTGTTTTGGATTGATGTGGTTTTATGTAGCTCTCCTTTCCAATTAACTCTATTTTTAAAATACTTTTCAGCAGAGAAGGGGTAACATGAAGAATCATAGGAGGCAGGATGCTGCTGCCTCGCTGTGCCCTAAACCCAGAGCAAGCCCTGTCAGGTTGGTGTTCAAGGTGCTTGTAAGGAGGTGGCCTTCCTCAAGTTAAAGCAGTGTGAAACTGGTGAGTGTCTGCACATACGTAAGCACAAAGGCTGTAGGCAAGTTGTCTGTGCTCTGTCTTAATCAGAACAGTTAACTGGTGTGGTTTCTTCTGTGTGCAAGTGCTCCACCTGCTTGAGTGGCACAGGCACCTCTTCCTGAGAACTGCTGGCTCCATCTTGTGGCTTTCAGAGTTAGCAGCTCTACCATGGAGAGGGCTGTTCTACGTGCTCAGATGAGTGTACATGTAGCTGTTGTTTATCTGCTATCTGAATTATATGTAGAAATCCCTGTGAACTAGAATCTTCTTTGCTATTATTTTCTTGAACAGTAGGAGGCCTTGCTCTAAGTTCAAGCTTTTCTTTTGTATGCAGATGTGAAGAGTCAACTCTTGTCTAAGTGTTCTAGTGTGCAACAGAATATCCAGTTTCTCAAAAGGATAGTAGCTTTGTGATTTCTATAGCATTAAGCTTGTTTGCACTGCAAATGTTAGTATGTTCTGCTCACTGAGTAGTAATTTGTATGCCAAGAAGAATCCAGAGGATTGTGCAGTACTTAACAAAACACTTTGTGTCTATCATCAAGTGAAGATGGTAATTCTTTCTTCTCAGTATAAAGCCTCAATTTGGAGGTGGGAATATCAGGATAAAAAGACTTATTCTCATGTCCCTTAGTTTTCCTTCCCAACTGCAAACTCACTGTCTGCTGTGGGAATGGGTTCTAAGGGGGAGATACCAGCAGCTCCCTAAGCCTTGTAATTCCTAAGGGGCTGGAGATAAAACACAGAGGTATGACTGAGACCATGTGCTTTGCAGTTGCCTTCCAGATAAGGTTGATTAATTTTCAGAGTTTACAGAAAGTTCCCTTCAGTGAGCTTTGTTATTTGGCTTTGAGGCAGGATCGTGTTTTTGATATAATCAGGATTTATAGGATTTGTTTAAGGTCTAGTGTTCAGGATATCGGAGGCTTTATGCATGCTGGCTTCATAGGCCAAATACTCAAATTTAAGGACAAACTTGTATGTACATGCAGCACGGAGAGACAAGGAAAGTAACTCCCTACTGCTTAATCGTGCTGTTTTTTATTTGAAAGGAAAACATACAATAAACTGAACTTGCTGTTTAGATGAGTGTTTCTCAACCTGTGGTCTCGCAGTCCTCTGTAACATGATTACCCTTCCCACAAAATGATGCCATTACACTGCTATACATGTAAACAAGGAAAACAACTGTGGACTGGGGGAAGGAGTAATTATCTTGAAAATAACCAAATTCTTGCTTCTAAATGAAAACCATCATTGCAACACTGCTGAAGACAGCCAGCACTTCTAGAACTGAAGAGCCAAAGTTCTAGGAGTAGCAGTGTTGAAGAAAACCTGAGACAAATGAATTAAGTCAGATGTAAATGTGACAAAAGGATCCTTATGCAGAATGGAAGCATTCTGAAGCTTAAACTTTGCTTCCTGCTGGGAGGTGGAGCTATGAGAACTGAGACCTGTTCAGTTGCTGAACAGATGCCTGCAGGGTGGAGTAAGTGGTTTTAAATCTAGCAATTCTAGCTACCACCCTAAGCAGGGCTGTGGGGGAGAACCTATTCCATTTCCAGGCCTCAAATTTTATTTCTTTATAGAGATGCTTATTCTTTGTCCATGGAAGTTAATCTTTACTTTTAGGGTTTCAAATCTTC